CCAGTCAACCCCAGTAGGAGTTGTGGTTAGGGCCAGGAGCTACACTTTCTGCTCTTCTTTCACTTGCCGTGTGTCCATCCTACCGCCTGATAGACTGGCCAAATGGTCTGACTCCTTGTGGTTGATGGCATCATCACTGAGCTTTGAGAATCTGGCCCAAATGACTCAATTGCTTTCATCTTTCCTCACTTTTCGCATCTTCCCAGGGCCATTTTTGGTTTGCTTTGGTTTGTGTGCTTGCCCTTATTCCTTCCTCCCTTCTGGTCTTTCCTTACCTCATGACCATGCTTCTACATGTACCTATAATACATATCAGATAATAAATATCAAAAACCCTGATCTATTGCCTCATTACAAATTCAACTTTCCTCATCCCATCAACCTATCTATAATGCTGAATGGCACAGAGAGCTAGCACAATGGAATTTTATGAAAATCTTAGAAAACCCATCAAGCCTATGTGCCTTAATTTACATATGGGTATAATATTATATGCAGAGGCCAGCTGGCGTGGTTCAGTGGTTGAGCATTGACCTATGAACCAGGAGGTCACAGTTTGATTCCTGGTCAGGCCATATGCCATGGTTGTGGGCTCAATCCCCAGTGCAGGGCATGCAGGGGCAGCCAACTAGTGATTCTTTCTCATCATTGATGTTTCTATCTCCCTATCCTTTCCTCGCTGAAATCAATAAACACACACACACACACACACACACACACACCTCTTCTTACATAGTCTTTCTTGCCCTCGCAGAAAGAACTAATCAGTTAGTCAAAACATTTCCAAAACATTACCCAAATGGGACTTTTCCCTCCGAGGCAAAAAAAAAAAAAAAAAAAAAAAAGCCTGCATGTGCTGTTGTTGTTTGTGTCCCACACTGCAAAGATAGCCAGATTGTTCATAATCCTGCTTCAAAGCATCTGAATGCATGTTCATCTTGGCACTCACACCTCAGCAGGGAGGCAGCCCACGTGGCTCTTGGCAGGTAGGCCAACTTGTCTGCAAGTGGCCCCTGGCCAAATATGGACATGTGCATTGGGTTGTGAGAAGGCCGCTGTGTTTGTTTTAGCAGAATGATTAATCTGCGAAGGCCCTGAATGGACCTGCACTGCTTTTGAAGTCATACTCTCGGGTCCTTAACAAGCATTCTATTTCTTCCCAAGCCATATCTGCACAGAGCTTAACAATACATCTACTGAGCAAATGGCTGATAGATTGAATTGAATTCTCTCAAATCTCAGACATTCTTCTATAAAGTGGCTCTTAAGGGAACTGAAGCTCATGTCTGATTCTGAAGTACAACCATTTTCTTTACCGAAAGACAGTTTAAAATCAGCCACATTTGCAGGAATCAATGTATTTAAAAACAAAACAAAACAAAAAAAACACTATTTGAGCCCCTATTCGGGCAATTGGTTTTTCTAATTTTCTATTAAGCTTCCAGCTGAGCGGCACTGAGACAAAACGGGTAACTAGCTTCTGTCTGCTGCTCTGCTCACGAAGTAAAGTTCCTGATGGAAACGCTAGAAACATCAACCAGCTCATTTGGGTCCTGTCGATTGCTTGCTTTCCCCTTCTAGAGCCACCTATTTCTTTCCCACACATTTGTGGTTGCTGAGTTCCAAGATGGATGTGTACTTATGAGCTTGCCTTTACAACCCAACCAGCCCTACCTGCGCTTGAGACTCCTCCAGCTTGGGGGATCCCCGTTGCCAGTGCTAAGCTATACTTGTGTGATATCCAGAGCCAGTCTGTTCTGAGAAGGTTGGAGGAAGAGGGGCTGCCTCACACTGGAATGGGCCAAAGAACTCAGGAAGGAGGGACATCGCGTGCAGGACCAGTCCCAGGCAGAATGATGAGAAGGTCTGGGCACCTTCTATCCCTTCTCTGTCCCTATATGGTCTCCTCTCTGCTGCCCGGAGCTGTGACCCTTTTGGGCAGTGGGAAATGAGCATATTCATTCATGATGAGGAATCAGTAAAATCAGGCTTAAAGAGCATGTGCAATGTAAGAGAACCATATGTGAGGATGTAATTCAAGAAATGAATGGCTCCACATGGACTCCACATACCAGGCATAAGACAATGGTCTCCAGGTAGGGCACCTATCCAGTGCCTTTCAAATGCCAGCCCATAGGCCTGCCCTGTATGCTCCTAGTTATGCCAATAGGCTATCGTATGATGGTCTACCATGTAATAGGTCTATATGTATTATATGCATTAGAGCCAGGGGCAGCAGGTGTAAAAGGAGTTAGGGATCCCTTCTGACGGCTCCAGGGACTGTTTGGTTGGTCAGTAGCTTTTCTTTGCCTCCTTTCCTCCACTCAGTCACGAGGCTAAATAGGATCGAAGGGTCTGTCAAATTGTCTGGTTTGTCACTGTAATCATTTCTGTCTCCCCAGGTGTCCGGGTGATCCCCAAAACAGCATGTCGCCAGGCCCAGACCTGCCGGCTGGGCATCCGGATTCCTCCCATCCCAGGGCACTGAGCCAGGCTTCGCCTCCAAGTCTCCACCCCCAGGGTGCAGCGCCTCCCTGCCTGGTTGTCAACCCCCCCAACCCCGCCTCCCCCACCACCGCCCCCCACCACCGCATGTTTCATGGCAACCCAATCCTACATCAGAGTGTATTTTTGTAATTCCTCCAGCTGACGTGTAAATGGTCCCGTCTTTCCTCCTCACCCACCTCTTCCCTCTTCTAGGGGTGGGCTGAAGGAAGGGGACACCAAGCCTGGGGTTTTGACTCGTCACTGCCATCACTTGTTTGTAAAAGAGCTGTTCTTTCTGACGGATTGTTTTAAACAGATATTTCTCCATTAAACTTCTACCGAGCAAATGGGTGATGGGTGGGTCAGCTGTTTCTCAGGGACGTCACCGAGAAGCACGAACTCCAAGCACACCGGCAGAGCGGCCCCATGGAGGGGAGGCGGGGGCCACAAGCCTGTGGCTCTGCTTTCTGTCAAGTATGACAGGCAAGAGACGTGAGCACAGACATGCAGCTGGGTGGGTGGGACAGAGGGGCCGCGTTTCTCAGAAACTCCCTGGGCAGGGCAATATAGCCAATGGGCAAGTTGTGTCCCACCCCGCCTGCAGCCCCCATCCCACCCTGCCCTCCTCCCCCACTCAACCCGCCACCCCAACCCCATTTCTGACTCAGCGTAAGCACTTGCCGTGTAAGAGAGCCATAAGTGAAGATGTAATTTAGCCTCAAGCAATAGATTACTATACATGGACTCCGCATACCAGGGATCAATAGAAATTTGCATGAAAACTTCTTTACTTTTAAATTTAGGGAAAGAACCATTGATTTGTTCTTCCACTTACTCATGCACTCATCGGTTGATTCTTGTGTGTGCCCTGACGAGGCAGTGATTCCGGCGCCGTGGCCATCGGACGATGCTCTGGTGGTCCGTGAGGTCCAAGAGGTTGGCGACCGCTGCGCTAACCCTCTGTTAGGGCAGAAATCTGCCTTTTTAACAAGTTGCAAGAGATGCAGATCCTGCTGGTTTGGGACCACTAGATTGGGATGTGAGGCGAGGGGCAGAGCCTGGACAAACCTGCTGTTTGTCCTTTTTTTTTTTTTCCTCCAGTTTAACCCAAAACATGTTAAGGTGCATAACTATCAGAGCCCAGCCAGGAAGCATCTGGGGCGCCCAGACAGAGTGACTGAGGAATCCACCGTCTAGCACATGTGTCAAACACAAGGCCCGCGGGCCAAATCCGTCCCGCCAGGCCTTGCAATGTGGCCCGCACCGCGCTGTCATCACTGCACTCCGCTGCGTTTCCATCACAATGACAGTTTATGACTGTTCAGTAAACCATTCGGCCCGCGATTTAGGCTGGATTTTAGATTTTGGCCCCTTCTCTGATTGAGTTCGACACCCCTAGTACAGCGTAAGGGAGGGTGAGGCACTCTGTTGAGGAGGTGAGAGCTGGAGCAAGGGGGAGTCCCTGAACCCGCTGAGCTCAGCTCTCAGCAGGGGCGCAGCCATTGGCACACAGCGCAGGCAGGGCCCCCGAGAGGCAACTTCTCTATCCTTCAGGCCCTCCACCTCCAGCCTGGGGCCTCCTGTGGGTCAAACAGCCAGAAGCCAGACAGTTAGAGGTCCACAGACACAGCCACCAGGTAAGGCTGAGAGGGCCCAGGGCTGCAAATGAAGAATATCCAATTCAACGTCAGTGAGCGGATGTGGGGGCTTGGGCAAACAGCACTGAAGCAGATTCCATCCAGGGCTTTCTTAGAGAGATGTGGGGGACAGGGACAAAGGGAAGGAGGAGAAAGAAGCCCTCTTTTCTACCTCAAGGCAAGAAAAAAGGCCAAAGGACAACCTCCCGCATCAGCTTCCAGGGCTTCTGGACTTGACCAGCCGTGACCAAATTCCCGGGCCCTCTCACAGCATCTTCCCCCTCACCGCCAGGCCCTGCTTGGGGTCCTCGGAACCCGCTCCTCATGGTCCTGTGTTGCTTTCTGCTCCCAGCACCCTCCCCACGCAGGCCAGCTCTCACTGGCCATTTGGGCCATCCCAGACCATGGAACCAATGAATTCAGGGAGTGGCCCAGGTTGCTCACTAGATCAGAACTCGTCCCGTAAGTAGAGTTTAACTTATTTTCTCCTAAGTCACTTACCAACTCGCCAACAGACTCGGCAACATGGCCAAGAACACGTTCCCCGTTGTCATTATAAGCAACACAGGAAATAGTTCTACTGCCTGGATTGCAATCCTAGTGCCCTGAGTTCCCGGGGTGTGACCTCGGGAGGGTGATTTAACCTCACTCTCTTCATCTGTGAAATGGGGATCATAATAGTAACTCCTTCAGAGGGTTACTGAAGTCATCCATAACTCTTGGCCTGGTCCCTGATCATGAAACCTATCGTTATTCTAAGCAAATGAATGTGGGGCTCTGCCCGTCAGGTGACTGACATGCTGTAGTTGGTTTGACACCAAGGATATCCTTTGCAGGGGGAGGGGCCGGAGGGACAGGCACACAGTAAACCAGACAATGTACCATTTTATTCCTTATAAAATATATTTCATATTGTTGCTGTAAAAACATTACATTTCACATTTAGAAAAAAAAAACAAAACTTTTTAACGGTAAAAATAATACTTGGAAGACAGCTGGGGGGAAAAGGCGCCAATAAGACAAATTCACAAATGAGATTTATCTCCCTCCCTCTCCCTCTCTCTCTCTTTTTATTTATTTATTTTTTTTATATTTTATTTGCCCCTGGTAAAGTCAGAACCTGGGAGGAGCAGAAAATAACAGGACAGATTTCTTCAAACAAATCAGAGTACCCTCCTCCAAATTAACCATGTCCTCCCAGGAGAGAAGCCATCGGTGTGCCATCGCCATGTGGGCATCTCTCGGCGTGCTCTCTGCAACTGCAGGGCCGCTTCCCCGGCCAGCTCACACCTCACATAACTGAGTCCGACCACTGTGCTCGCTGGTCAGTCCTTGTGCTTTGCACCTGTGACCTCACTCGGCCACGGACCTTCTGGACTCTCTCTGCACTGAGCGAGCCGAGGGCAGGCTTCATAGAGTGACGGCTGGTCACAGCAGGTACCAGACTCCCCGGGTAACCCCAAGAAATGTTCTGAATAAGGGTAACATCCGTGGAATCGAGTTTCCCCCAAAATAACTGCATTGGAGCATCCGTCCTGTTACTTTCGAGCGTGCACCTCTGGCATCAAGATGCCTTCTCTCAGGTTCTGCTGCCCAGGTGGGCTGGGACGTAGGGAGAGAGATACAGAGATGAAAAACAAAAAACAAAACCAGGCATGATCGCTGGATCGGTTCACAAACCACCCCACCCTTCGAGAAGAAACAAACGGGGGTAACCCCGAGGACAGACCACACGTCAAGAATCAACACAACAGCCACGAGATTGAGGTGCGGGAAGAGGGAAGCCGGGGGCGGGGGGAGTGAGGGGGGCACCACCACCCGAAATAAGACAGGAGCAAATGCAGACAGAGAAAGCGGCACCAAAATAAAACATCAAAATATAAGATAAAATAAAAAATAAAACCACCTCAGTTTTTTCAGTCGTCCCGTCAATGTCTGTCTTCCTTTCTCTGCCCTGTGTACCAAAGACATGAAAAGCCTGCCTCCCTCAGAGAAAATCTTTATATCCGGTTACATACGAACAATCCAAACTGAGGGAGGCGGGGGGAGAACAGCTTTTCAAAAGATGAGACTCAGCAAGAGCTCTGATGAAGAAAGGAAGGGAAGGGAAGATACCCCCGGGCAGCGTCCGCGTCTGAAACCCGTCCTCCCTTCCCCTCCCCTCCCCTCCCCGAGAAGCCCAGAACACGGACAGTGCGGGAGGTGAGTGAGTCAGGATGAGCAACCACCTGCTTTCCATCCTCGGGGAGGCTGAAGGGACAGGAAGGAGCGCCCGGGCCACTTCCTGCGGGCCTGGTTTTGAGCTTTCCCCGAGGAAGAGACTCCACATACCTTTTTTTCACAAAGTTATAAAAATATACCCCATCACCACCCAAGACACTTGTGCATAACTGTCTTTCCCTCCGTCACCAAACCCGGGTCCCCATCACCCTTCACCAAGCCACGCCCCTGTTCTCTTCTCGCGGGCAGGTGTTCTAACACCCCGCCTGCCTCCCACCTTGAGGCATGTGCATGTTTCCCGAGGGAGCGGCCAGAGGAGCTCCTGGGAGCCAGGTGGTTCCCACCTCGGCTCAAGGACAGCCAATGGGGAGATGCTGCTGCTCTGTCCCCCAGGAGTGAGTGGCATGGTGGGCTTCCCTGAGCCCCTCCCTGACATCCAGGACACGGGTCCAAGGCAGCTGGTCAAGCAGGCCCCAAGGAATCGCCACGGTTCCTGGGAAGAAAAGCAGGGCTCTGAAACCCACCCGGGCCTTCCCTCGGGGCTCAGCTCACCCCATCTTAACCCCTGGCTGGCTCGGCACTAAACTCCCCACATCTCTCTCCTTCTTCCCAGCACAAGCTTTGCTCATTAACCTCCTGAGCAATGCAGTAGGGCTCCCCTCAATGCCTGAGTCCTCCAGAAACATCCTGGGAGCTGTGAATGCATCCCCAGGTCCTCCTCACTCCATTTCCCCAGCCCTCTCTCCGACCTCCTCCATCCTGCCTTCAGGCAAGAAGGTGCTCGGCAGGTACCTGGGAAGGTTACACCACACTAAGAGAAGGTTGCCTCCTCCTCACTGGGCTGGGCCAACCCGGGTTAAAAATAAAAAATAAAAAAATCCAGAAGCCTCCTGCCTTGGGTCCTATCCTACCTGCCACCTAAGGGAGGGACGGGATTGCTCCCAAAGGGGCAGGGAAGCCATCGAGCAATGAGAGACCTGCCAACTGTTTCTCCATCGGTGGGCAAGCCGCCACTCACCTCCCCTGCCCATGCTCTTCTCTCTCCTTCCCCACCAGCCCTGCCGGGTGGCAGCCTCGGGGCGGGAATGGGGAGATCCCTGGTGAAACCAGAGACAGAGAGGAACCTACCACCCAAATAAAAGGGGACCTTTAATCCCCTTTTGAATACATCCTCCTGAAGAAACTAACGTGTTTCAGGGGAGTCCTTCCCAGCAGAGAGCTCTCACAGAGACGGAAACCCTCTCGCTTTTCCTCAAGGAAAGAGGAAAGAATATCAAGGTAGTGTTCGGCCGCACGTCAGAATGGGAATTCTTATCCGCCTTCTGGCTCAGCGATGGGGGACCGCCTTTCAGAACACGAGGCGTCTGGGCTGTCGAAGAGGCCGTGCAGTCTGTGCGGGGATGCCCCCCAATGCCCGAGGGGACCCAGATCCAGAGCGCCGTCAGCAGAAGCCTGTCCTTTCACTTCCGTGGAAGCGGTTGGTGAGACAAGCTCTCTATTCTCCACAATTCGGGTGGAGAAGGGCTTGCTGGGGGGAAAAGGAAAAAAAAAAAATTCGCCCAGACACCCCCCACTCTTCCCACCCCAAGGCGGGGTCTGCTCTCTGAGTCATCAGCCAGAAACTTTTTTTTTTTTTTTAAGAAAAGTAAATTCATCTTGCTCACAGTCCCTTCTGGGCAGAGTTGAGAAAGCAAAGAATCCACCCACTCAGCAGGAAACAGAGCGAGCTGTTCCTTCTTTTGATGCTTACACACTCACCCCCCCCCACCCCCCGAGAGAGGGGGTGTGGGGAGGGGAGGCGCACACGTTCTTTGGTCTCTAGTTCGCTGCAGAATACCCTTGGTCAGTTTTGGCTCTCTCCTGGATGAGGGGGCGGAAAAATAGGTTCGTTTCTCTCTCTTTTTAAAAAAAAAAATAAAATGTTCCCGCAAGGGAGGGGAGAAAGGGGTTTCAGTATTAAACCTCTGCCAAGAGAGCCCACACTCCCGGTGTCCACGTGTTATCGGTAGGTGTCCGCTGCGGGCTCACGGGTCTGCCTGGCGTCGTTGTCCGGCCGCCGTGGGGCCGGGGGCGGCGAGGAGGAGCCGGCCGGCCGGGGCGGCGGTTCAGTCCAGGAAGCGCTGGCAGGCCTTCTTCCAGCGGCAGGCGGTGCACCACTGGTCCCGGTGCTCGATGCCGTACACTTTGCGGCACTTCTTGGCCTCCCCGCGGGCCTTCCTGCCGAGGGAGGGGAATGAGGGCACTGTCACGCGCTGGTGGTCAGCCCTGGAGAGTGGCCAGGTCAGCCCTGGAGAGTGGCCAGGCTGAGCAAACAGGCAGAGGTGAGAAGGGAGGGGAGGGGGGAGCGTAGGGGGCCGGAGGACCGCGTCTCCTTAGCGTCTGGTGTGTCCTCCAGCCGGGCTCACCCTGCCCCGCCCGGTTCCCGGGGTCAGTGGCCTCAGTAAATATTTACTAGAGGCCCGGTGCACGAAATTCGTGCATGGGGGCGGGGGAGGGAGGGGGCCGCGCGTGCACCTGTCCCTCAGCCCAGCCTACACCCTCTCCAGTCTGGGACCCCTCGAGGGATGTCCAACTGGGATCCAGGATGGGGCCTACATGAGCAGTCGGACATCCCTCTTACAATCCAGCACTGCTGGCTCCCAACTGCTCGCCTGCCTGCTTTCCTGATTGCCCCTAACCGCTTCTGCCTGCCAGCCTGATCACCCCCTAACCACTCCCCTGCCAGCCTGATCGCCCCCTAACCGCTCCCCTGACAGCCTGATCGCCCCCTAACCGCTCCCCTGCCAGCCTGATCACCCCCTAACCGCTCCCCTGACAGCCTGATCACCCCCTAACCACTCCCCTGCCAGCCTGATCGCCCCCTAACCGCTCCCCTGCCAGCCTGATTGCCCCTAATTGCCCTCACCCCACCCTGCGCGGTTCCTAGGGTCAGTGGCCTCAGCGTTTGCACGCGCAGTGGAGACAGTGGGGATGAGAGCCAGGAGGAGGTGGTGGGCAGGCACGGAGGGCCTTACCTGGTGCTGCTCTGGGCCCGGGGTGGAGACGTGACGATCAGGTGGGATTTCACGGCAGGCGGTGGCTGCTGGGGCTCGCTGAAGCTGAGCGACCTGCTCCGGACCTGGGCACGGAGAGAGGGGCCGTGAGCACAGGGCAGGCGGCCATGCCGGCGGGGCCCCTCCTTGTGGCAGGAGGGCCCGCGTGCCTTTCCCGGAAGGACATTTCGGACGGAGGTGAACAGGGGCCGGGTGAGGGGAGAGCCTTTTAGTGACGCTCGAGAGAGAGAGAGAAGGAGCCCTGGGCAGGGGCGGTGGCCACTTTGGCGGACTGAGAGGCCGTCACCACGGTGACAGAAAAGAAGGGACTGCACTGTCTCGATGCCACGTTCAGGCACCCAGGCTTCCCAGTGTGCGATCCCTTCCTGCCGGAGACACGTGAGACCAGAACCCGCTGCGGGTGGTACCAGTGGCTTCCAAGGCACTTTAGTTCAGAGGCAAGCCACCTGAGCACTGGTCCACGGTGGCCGAGAGATTTCTGATCCAGCCTAGACAGCCCCCCCCCACCCCCGCCTTCTTGCTGGCCCACCCTCTTCCCCTCCAGCTTTCCCACACTCTCTCCCTTCTTAACACGCACCACAGGCACGCGGGCCCAAAAGGGCCCTGACCCTGGCCTCGCCTGGTGATTTTCTTGGCAATAAACTTGCACGAAGTTTAATAAACTTCTCTGCAGGCACCCTCCTTCCACCCTCTATGAGGGGCTGGGACCCCCTGCCAGGCCAGGGGGCGATCTTCACAAAGTGTGGGTGCTGCCGACCAGTGCGAGGAGAGGGCCCCCCAGCACTGGGTGTGTGTGGCAGGGCCCTGGGCTCGGTCCAGGGCCCCAAAGTGCCGCTGGGCTCAGAGAATGGCACACTCACCGGAGTGAAGGAGGAGGCCGTGGAGGGGGCGGCGGCCCAGCTAATACTGGTGTAGATGTGCGGGGAGACGGGGATCTGGAAGGACGGCAGGGCCTGCGGAGACAAGACAGCCTCAGCCCAGGTCCGGCTCTCAGACTCCGCCCACCCACCTGTGCCGTCAGGATGCACAGCAGCAGGTCTCTGGCTGGAAACCCTGGAACCCACCAGAAGGCCCCTCCCAAGAGAAAGAGCCAAGTTCCCAACTCTCTGACACTGTCTCCTTAGCCACAGGCACCAATCTCTTTTGGAAACCCCTCTCAGAGCTGGTGCACATGCTAGCCTCCTGCTGCCATCATCACCCACCAAGAACACACTAAAGGCAGTTCCCCAAAGACGCCCTAAAGGGAGCGATTGCTGCATCTAGGGTAGGGAGTGCCCAGCAGCCACGTGGAATTAGCAACACTCTCCGGGATGAATGGGTTTAGGTTTGTTCATCCATACACTAGCCACAGCCGAAACCGGTCTGGCTCAGTGGATAGAGCGTCGGCCTGCGGACTGAAGGGTCCCGGGTTCGGTTTCGGTCAGGGGCATGTGCTTTGGTTGCGGGCACATCCCCGGTGGGGGGTGTGCAAGAGACAGCTGATAGATGATTCTCTCTCATCGACGTTTCTAACTCTCTATCCCTCTCCCTTCATCTCTGTAAAAAAAAAAAAAAAAATCAATAAAATATATTTTTGTAAAAGAAAAAAGTATATATTTTTTAAAATAAATAAGAAAATATATATATATTTTTTAAAGCCTCCGGGGACAGCCAGCCGCCTGAAGGGCCACCTGAAAGTTGGCCAAACATGAAAGAGCTAAGTGATCCCTCGTTCTAATGAGGACACCTGGCTCGTTTTGTACAGGTTTTCCGACTGAAAGCACTGCTGTCTAATGACTAACCTGCACATCTGCCTGGAGTCTGGTAAGATCAGGCTGTGGGCACGGAAGCGTTGTAAGAAAAATGGGCACGTGGTTAAGCTGTGCGTTTACTGAATACCTACTGTGTGCACAGGGAAGACCATCCTACATAACACCCCCCTCTGCGACAGCTTTCCCAACCACATGGGCATCCCGGCTTGGCCCTTCCTATACCCACAACAACGTCTGGTGCCTCCAGTAGGGCACACGGACGATTATAATTAATCATAGTTACATATGCATTTCTTTCTCCGGCTAAATGGTGCATTTCTCAAGGTCAGGGACAATGTCTTATTCTGTCTGGAAAGCTTACCCCACTGACACACAGTAGGGTGTTTTTTGTGTGTGTTTTTTTTTAAATAAGTGGTGGGTTGTTTGTTAACATATGACTCTAGGGACTAGAGATTTGCTCTGGAAAGCCCCAACTACAGGACTCTGTCCGCCTTGATAGCCGGCGGCTAACATCTCCCCAGTCCAAACCCATCAACCCGGGTGCTCGGGGATTCAGCCAGATTTCTAGGACTCGCTCGTGACAGCCACCGAGGGAGAACGCGGGAAACCCCACGTGGTCAAGGGTGACTTATTTCCCTTTCCTTCTCTGTAGAGGTTAGAGGCGACCCATTTAGCCACAGGGCTCCGCCTCCAATCGGGGTGGTCAGTGGCCTGCGATCAGGCTGGTTGGTGGGCAACAGGTCAGACACGGGACATCCTCACGGTCACAAAGCTAAGCTCCCGCCGCCCAGCCATACCTGGTATGCATGGTCGGCCTGAATGTGCCAGAAGGAGCCGGGAGCTGACTTGCTCAGAGCACCGGAGGGCAGGCAGGATTCCGGGCCCGGGTGCTCTGGGCCCGAGGGCTGGCCTTTGGGAGCAGGCGGTGGGAGAATGGCGAGGGGCGGGCTGGCCACGCCGGGGGTGGGGGCCGAGTCGGCGGCGGGGGTGCCGGCAGCAGCAGCTTCCTCCTTCATCTGCACCTCCGTGTAGTAGAAATCCTCCTCCCGCTTGAACTGGTCGGAGTCCACAGAGTCCCTGTGTGGGAAGGGGACGCAGTGGTGGTCAGGGACACGCTGCCTCAGTTCAAACACAGGGGAAACTGAGGCACAAGGCGGTGGGGGGATGTCTGCTCTGAGCCACCCAGCGAGTCAGGGAAGGAGCCCAAGAGGCCACACAGGAGCCTGTCCCCAAGGCAGCATCACGGGGAGGACATGCTTGTGCATCCATGGGGCCGTTTCTCCTGCACCTGAGGCTTCTCCTCCCTTCAGGGTGTCCGAACCTCACCTCCTGCAGGAGGCGTCTGACCCTGAGCCCGGCCACGGGTCCTGTCGGGCCCAGCTCGTTGCTGTCACAGACTCTCCTCCAGGGGAAGGGCTGTGAGCCAGTGCCTCAGCCAAGAGCAGCTCTGAGCAGGGAACGGTTGCTGCACTAAAGGGTAGGACGTCCCCAGCAACCACGTGGAATCCAATTGCGCCCCAGGTCCCCGAGGGAAAGCAGGGGCAGGCCTCGCCGTGGGGTCTCACCCCGTTTCTACCCAGAACTACAACAGCTTGCATCCTGCAGGAGGCTAGATGACACACCCACAGACAGACGGATGGTGCTCCCTCCCCAGGAACAGCTAGATGGACATTCACTGCGACGGGATAGGAGACCGGTCCTTCCTTCCCAGCAAGGAACTCCCTCCAACAGGCTACTCCGCTGGGCCCGGGGACAGGCACCAGGTGGCGCTCTCGAGTGAGTCATTTCCTTGGAAGCATTCTGGGCTGTGGGTCCCCGGCAATCAGCAGGGTGAAGGGGGAGACAGACCTGAATGCTCCCGGAGGCAACCAGGCCCCGGGCTCCACACCTACCCCAGGTGGAGGGCTTTCACGTGCCGCTTGATGCCCACGATGGAGCGCAGGACTTTGCCGCAGTTTGGCCACAGGCACTTGTACATCACCTTCACCGAGTTCTAGGGGAAAGGAAGACAGGGTCATCGGGACGCGTTCCGCTCCTCCATCCCCTTCCCATCCTCACCCCCTGGGGACTTCAGCCTCCTGCAAACAAAAACCCAACAGACGGCTCTCCGGAGCCAAAGAGACGGACAGGCAGGGGCAGAGTGCCTCGGCCCAGGAGCCGGGCCTGTCAGACCCAGCCAAAGCCTCACGCACACAAGCATCAGGAGAGAAACAGAAGAGGCGGGGGCTGAAGGGAGCTCCCGGGAATGTCTAGAGGGAACAGCAGCAGCCAAGGAAAGCTGAAATGGGATGGAGGCCGGGGACGCCTGGGACCGGTGGGGCCTCGCCAGCCTGAGCTCACGTGCACACAGCACCACGTACCTTTCTTTTACGTGGAGCCGGTTCATCCAACAGGAACGCGTCCGGATCCGTTTCGAACCCAGGATCGGTTTGGGGAGAACCAAAGGCGTCCCCCAGGTACTTGGGGCTGGCCTGGGGGTGCGGGGGCGAGGGGGTGGAGACGCCACTGCTGGCGCTCCAGTGCCCGCTGGTGGTGCTGCTGCCGCTGTCGGACACGTCGCCACTCTCCTTCCACGGGTCGCAGGCCGCGCGGGAGGCTGGCAGAGAGAAGAGGGGGGCGCTCAGGGGCCAGTCCCCAGACGGAGCTGCTGGCCATGGCCCTGTATACACCGGATTCCACACGGGCAGCCCACGTCAGAGGCCACGACAGTCTCGTTTGGAGCCCGGGTTCCTGAATCCAATTCCTGGCTCTGGCTCTGCCTGGCCGTGCCATGTCAGGGAGGAAAAACCCAGTAAACATGAGGAGACAATGCCACTCATCGCAGCCACGTCCCTGGGTCGTCCTGCTCGGCTCCAGTGGGCATCTCCTGCCACGGCCACGCTGGTCACCACTGACCAGCAAGCACACACTGGAGCTTCCTCTTGTATAGTATTAACAGAAAGAGAACCTAATTAAAATGTGTTTCTCACTGCCCCCCTGGTGTGGCTCCGTGGTTAAGCATCGACCTATGAGCCAGGAGGTCACGGTTCAATTCCTAGTCAGGGCACAGGCCCGAGTTGTGGGCTCAGTGCCCAGTGGGGGGTATGTTGGAGGCAGCTGATCAATGATTCTTTCTCTCCATCGATGTTTCTGTCTCTCTCTCTCCCTTTCCCTTTCTCTCTGAAATAAATGTGTGTGTGTGTGTGTGTGTGTGTGTGTGTGTGTGTTTTAAATGTGTTTCTCACTTTATATGTTTAAAAAAAAAAAGGCAGCGGCCCAGGCCACCATGACCTCCTGGTTGAGCATCAACCTATGACCCAGAAGGTCACGGTTTGATTCCCAGTCAGGGCACATACCCAGGTTGTGAGCTGGATTCCTAGCGTGGGACTTGCAGGAGGCAACCAATCAATGATACCCTCTTATCATTGTTTCTCTCTCTGTCTCTCTCCCTTCCTCTCTGGAATTAATAATTAATAATTATAAATAAATAAATGCAGGGGGAAGAGGAAGGGAGAGATTCTACTGCTTCTAGGCCTAAAACAGTGAGTGAGAAGGTGCACAGACCTGTGCCGGGGACCACTGGGCGCCTTCCCCACAGTGGAGTAGGATGGAAAGGCCAAACTAGGAGCTTGTTGGCCAGGCTTTCTTGAAAAAAATGCCTATTGATCACTTAAATCCAGGCAAGTCCATCCAAGACTGCCGGTGGGAAGAAACCACTCGGCCAGCTCTACAGCCACTGGGACGTGTACCGTCCATCAGAGGTGGCGGCAGCCCAGGCGGCTGCTTTTCCCCACGCGTGATGCGTTTAGAGAAGATAAGCTCTGAGAGCAATTCAGACCAATGACAAGATGCCTGGGTGACGCCCAGCAGGGCTCTGAACCTGCCGCCTGCTCCCGGCAGGGCCTCTGAGCAGGAGGAAGATCACAGTGAGATGGGACACTTTCCGTTTTCAAGTTGCCTGTCTTCAGGCTGCGTTAGGCCCAGCCCAGACTCTTCCACTGCCTAGGCCATAAGTCCCAATTCCTAGGCAGGACAGGAGAATCTGACATTCTCACACACAGAAATAGCGCGAGAAGAGGGGAAGCATGCGGTGCCCACATCCCCAACTACCCCAGCTCCACCACAGGCGGGCTTTCCACAAAGCCTTCTCCGTAACCTGGGCCCTGAGATGGACGGACACGACCTCTGGAGCCAGGATACAGATCCGCTGCTTTTCTCCCATCCTGCTCCATATTCCCAACTGCTTCTCAGCTGAGCCAGGCCCCTGGGGTGGATCCCCAGCATGCATTCCTGTTGCGTGTTGCCCATGCCGGCTCCCCTTCACCAAGCCACACCTGCCCGCAGGAGCCCACCCACACAGCATGGGAGGCTGTGAGCTCTTCCCTCCCTCAGCGTCACTGTCAAGTCTCAAAGCTATGGCCCCCTGGAGACCAAGAGGGTATGACATCTATACATGGGGCTTACAAAACAGGAGAGCCCTTTAGGGGGAGAGCTCAACAGCCCCAACACCCCAATAGGTCCAGGGCCCCCACACACCCACTCAAGGAGAGAAGGGCAGAGAAGCAGAAGGCGACATCTAACGCGATCAGGGCTCTGGAGAAGAGCAGGTCACACACAGGGAAACCCTACAACCCAGCCACCTCCCGCCGGGAGCCATGGGCATGGCTCCAACGCTGGAACTGGCAGGCGGGCACGCGGAGAAAGAAAAGCGTTTTAAAAAGAAAAAAAAAGGTTAATTTCACAAAGGAGTCTGTACGTTGTCAGGCGAACATGAATTCCTCTGCCTTTGATCGGGCGATTTTCTAGGGAGGGTACCAGCTATTCTATGCGTGAAAATGAAGTGCTCCTCTGCAAGTGCACAGCAATGAGAGCACACAGCGAACCTCTAAGAAATATTTATAATCCCCTCCGGTGTGTGCGCACACACACACACACACACACACACACACACGTGCACAGAACCACCCTAACAACACAGACACCCAAGGGAAGAGTGGTATCTGTGCAAACAGTATCCGTTATCCGTGACCGGAGCAAGGCTGGGGTGATTGTGTAGACCACGCCTTGTGGCAGAACACTCCAATATCATTCGCTGCCAAGGAAGCCTTATATGTCCACTGATTTCAGTCATAAGACCAGACATAAAATGGAGGGGGAAAAAAGTCTTTAATAAACTACTGAATTTTGTGTCCAAAAGGGACTTCAGATATCAAGATGGTGGCATATTATGTTAGATATGTATGTGTTGGTGTTGGGGTGTGTGTGTGTGTGAATATTATATATGTATTCTACACACAGATATATACATTAAACCCGATGGGAATTGAAGTCAATGATTTTCTTTCCCTTTCTGACACATTTCTGGATCTTCCTCCTCTTGACCAAACCTCCTGGATCTCCTGAACTCGTAGAGTTTACTGAGAACTTAAAACTGACTCCCTACACACCATGCTTCACCACAGGTGGGATAGCAGACACAGCAACCTGCTAGCAAACTCGTCGCTGACGACAAGCTTTGGGTGAAGGAAGTAAATTTACTTCATCGCTCCTTTCAACTGGAGGGATACCTGTAAAGGCCACTTTCCTCTGACTCCGTGTTTCCAGTGAGAGCTCACCAATGAAAAAGTTATTCCCTGGGAGTAAGTCAGGCCAGCCCCACAGCGAGTTTCCAAACGAAACACTTCAGGTTTGCCACCAGCCTTGCCGAACTGCTAATATCCAGCAACCCTTCTCCTTCCTCCCATTTTACGGATAGTGTATTTTGGGGGTCGCACCGGAAGAAGTGCCCTTTAATTTGTCAATTTGCTGTGAAGTCGTTCTGTTGCAATCAGATTTACTTTAGACTTGGGCTTGTTTATCCCAGGTCCTTGGCCTGTAGGCCCACGCTAATTTGTAAGGCTGAATGAGGCACTTGGAACCGGGGCGTGAATCTTCTGAGGCCCCTAGGGGGCCATTCAGTAAGTTTCCACCTCCGTGAACTAAACATGCCTCTCTGGGCCTGGTGCAGGCCCCACCAAAGTGCCTCGCTCACTTACTCCCACAGAAGAACTTACTCAAGTGGCCAGGGTGGCTCAGCCCCGTGCTCAATCATCTTCACCATGCGCCAGGAGGCTTCTCCCCAGAGGAGGGAACTGAGGAAAAAGAACGGAAGCATCCAGCTCAGCGTCACTCAGCCAGTCTGGGACATGGGAAAGAAGGGACTCTGGAATCCTGTGGCCGGGCCAGTACGTTGGCCATTCGCTGCTCAGAGCAGAGGACGTGAGTGATGAGGCTCTGCCACACCCAGAACCCACGCGGACTCCCTTCCTCACCAGAGAAGTTGGCCTCGGCCCCAGGAGGACTCTGCACGACCGGGCTGCAGGACAGGGACGTCAGCACCATGGCCGCCATCATCTCGTCCATCTCCACTGCCTCCGACTTCCTGGATTCAAACAGGCGAGGGCCAGAGGTTACATGCGGACACTGCTGGTCACGTGATCATATTACCTATCTGGGCTGTCCCCTCCACACCCCCACTCCAATCAGCCAGGGTGTACATTAAATAAAGCATGAAGGTCTCCCCTCACTCTTGGTGAAAAATACTCATTCTGGGATTACGTTTATAGTATCGGTCAACCCCCGTATAGGGGGGGCGGTCCCCATCCTATTGCTGACACCCAGAGGCAACTCCATTCTCTCCCCTGAATTCACTTCCTAAATAACTCTGCAGCTTAAAGTAAAGAACTGTATTTGGGGAGAAGGAAGGAGAGTCAAAGCAATGAAAAAGAGCATGGACAAAATTAGGATGCCCACTAGAATTCGAAAGCACTAAAATTACCTTTCGTTCCCCATCTTATACTTAAATTTATGAGGAAACAATTACACTAACCAATTCCTTTCCCCTCCCCCAAGAAAAATGATGAGGAATTCTGTTAGCTTCTGAATGTCAACAGAATCTACTTCGTAAGCGATGAGCAAGTAAGCCAGAAGCACTAACGTAAACCTCAATGCTTTAAACAGCAGAGGTCTATAAAATTGTACATGTAATTTGTTTGTTTTTTTTGTTTTTGTTTTTGTTTTTTTAAATATATATTATTGATTTTTATACAGAGAGAAAGGGAGAGAGATAGAGAGTTAGAAACATCGATGAGAGAGAAAGTCATCGATCAGCTACCTCTTGCACACCCCCCACCGGGGACATGCCCGCAACCAAGGCACATGCCCTCGACCGGAATCGAACCCGGGACCCTTCAGTCCCCAAGCCGACGCTCTATCCACTGAGCCAAACCGGTCCTGGCACATGTAATTTGTTTTTAATCCATATAAAGCTACATCATGTGGAAGTACATTTAGACCTGTCTATAAGTTAATGCTAAGGTATGTAAAGGTGGTCTGAAATAAATTTGTAGCTAGCTCCTCTGTTTCACAGGACTGTAATAATCTTTTCTTCACAATTCAGATCCACCAAAATGTGTGACTGGGTTTGAAGTTGTTAAACTGAAACCCGTAATATATTTCACATATTAGCATCCCTTTGTTTTATGTGATCTTTGTATTTTCATTTCCATGGAGTAGAAAAACACATTCTTTTGCCAATATTCCTCTGAATTCACATTCACAAATATTGTTGCTCTGGTCTGCTCTCAATATTCTGGGTGTGCTGTCACAGGCAGTATTGCCCACAGACAAGCACAGAAAGAGGCGGAATGAGGCTTGCACGTCCTGGGTATAAGACAATCTCCACTGGCAGGTTTTCTCTCTTAATTTTAAAAGATCAATGTACCAAGAGTATGTAACAGGAACTAGGAGAGAGATATATACATATATTCCCGCTCAGGGGAAAATTGTATCATAAAATTCTAAAGCAAGATATACATTCAAACAGTCTGCGTTCAACATTAATGGTTTTGAATTATGTTGAGCACCTAAAACTAATACAAAATAATACTAAACGTAAACTGTAATTAAAAAATAATTTTTATTTTTTTTTTAAATCAATGGTTTCGAGCGTCTAAGCGAGGGGTCAGCAATCTACGGGCTGTGGACCAGATGTAGCCTGCCGCCTGCTTCTGAATGGCTCCCAAGCCAAGAATGGGTTTACATTCTTTAAATGGTTTTAAAAATCAAAAGAAGAGTATTATTTCTTGACATGTGACACATAAAATTGAAATCTGAGTGCCCATAAGTGAAGTTTTATTGCAGCACAGCCGTGCCTGTGTGTTTCCTCATTGTCCGGGGCTGCCCTCACGCCACCACAGCGGAGCGGAGTCTCTGGGACTGGGCTTGCGTGGCCCACAAAGCCCACCCTCCGCACCATCTGGCCCCCTCAGAGCAAGTTCACCGGTTCCTGATCGAAGCCATTGTTTCTGTCTCTCGTCATGAAAAACTAAGACCTAATTTTATTCTAAGTACGGAAAGAGGAAAAACAGCCCTTCGTCAAACCAAAAAACAGCAGAACAGATACCGTGCCGGGTGTTTCTAAAGGATGCCGTCTCTTCTCTCGGTGTCCCATCTGTCCAATATCCTGACCACTACACACCTAGGACTTCCACGTTCCTCCCCCATCGCAGAACGTGCCACCACCCCACGCTCACCGCCCACGTGGTTTTCGGAGCGACGGCTCTCCCACACAAACCTTTTCGGGACGTCAATGTTCCTGGAGACCGGCCTGTAGGCTTGTGCCTGGGTTCCCGGCTCCGGAAGGGGCCCCTGGGGAAGAGGACCCTGCAGCTCGGCCAGCCACACCTCCTCCGCTTTGCAGCAGATCTGTAACTTCTGGTCCAACAGCCAGACGGTCACCTTGTCCTCTGCCCAGTTATGCTGCTCCACCAGGCCTGGGCACTCCTGCCCCCCGTACCACACATACACCTGGTGGGAGAGCGAGAAAAGCAGCAACCGTGGTCAGCACTTGGTAGTTCTTACCGCCCAGAGCCCAGGTTCTGGGATTCACCTAGACTAGGGGTGTCGAACTCAATCAGAGAAGGGGCCAAAATCTAAAATCCAGCCTAAATCGAGGGCCGAATGGTTTACTGAACAGTCATAAACTGTCATTGTGATGGAAACGCAGCGGAGTGCAGTGATGACAGCGCGGTGCGGGCCACATTGCAAGGCCTGGCGGGACGGATTTGGCCCGCGGGCCTTGTGTTTGACACATGTGACCTAGACCAACTAAAGTCCCTGCCTCAGTGGTAATGCAAGCAAGACGCTGCCAGGCAACTGCTTCCCACCTGAGCCCCCGGTGGATTGGTTCTTCTAAAAGCAGATCCTGCCGAAACCGGTTTGGCTCAGTGGATAGAGCGTCGGCCTGCGGACTGAAAGATCCCAGGTTCGATTCTGGTCAAGGGCATGTACCTTGGTTGCGGGCACATCCCCAGTGTGCAGGAGGCAGCTGGTCGATGTTTCTCTCTCATCAATGTTTCTAGCTCACTATCCCTCTCCCTTCCTCTCTGTGGAAAAATCAATAAAATATATTGAAAATAAATAAATAAATAAAAATAATAAAAGCACATCCTTATAGACTCTAGACACCAAAGGTTCTCAACGTGGGGCACGTGCCCCATAGGGAGGCAACTTGGTTTTTAAGGGGGGCAATTCGAGAATGAGTTATTAACAGTGATTTTTTTTTGCACTTTTTATGGTTCTAGGGGCCACATTTACAGCATATAAATATATATACTGTGACACATTTATGCATTTCAGTTCTCTATGTTTTGAAATTTTATTTGCTGTTTTTTCCATATCGTTTCATATTATTATTATTTTTTAACAATGTCTTACTGATTTCTTCTTCAGTACTTCAACTGTCCTTTTGTTCTTTTATTCTTCTCTGTCATGGATGCCGTGTGCTTTGGAAGCTTGCTCAGACCAAGGTAATGGCCTTTTAGGCTTCCGCCACGTAAACAGAAGTTCACTTTTTGAATAATAAGAATTCTATGTCATGGGTGGGGGCAGTCAAGATTTTAGAGATGCTTAGGTGGGGCATGGCCACAAAAAGGTTGGGAACCATGGCTCTATATGGAGAAGGTGAACATGTCAGTTTCTGAGATTTTTTTTTTTTTCTTCTGAACTTAGAGTCTATATTCTATTAAGCTTAAGTTGTTATCATCTTAAAATAGACAGTTTTCTGTAAGCCTTGTAGTAACCCAAAAGGAAGGAAGGAAGGAAGGAAGGAAGGAAGGAAGGAAGGAAGGAAGGAAGGAAGGAAGGAAGGAAGGAAACACCTCTAATCAAAAAGATAAAAAGAAAAAGAATCAAAGCATGACTATGAAAAAAAAAACAACAACAAACCCCAGAAGACAGCAAGAGAGGAAGAACAAAGGAATTACAAAACAGTCGGAAAATAATTAACAAAGCAACAACAGGAAGGCCTTACCTACCAATAAGTGCTTTAAATGTAAATGAGTTAAATTCTCCAACCAAATGACTTTGGAATCCATGTCCATCCTCCTGAATTCTTGCCCTGCATTGCCTTCAAAGTTCTATATGTCTCCTGGTTCACAACTACTGCCTTGAATTACTCGCCCTGCATCATCTTGCCCTCTAGGGACTTCTGAGTCTACCTAGGGACAGGGTGGTAGGGATGGCAAGGTCAGCTGTCCTCCCTCGAGGGCTGCCTAGCAGAGGGGGAAGCGAGCTGTGGGAGACAGAAGCCTCGGCAGGGAGACAAAAGGGAGAGTCCACTTGTGGACCGTGGAGAAGGCAGTGAAAGAGAAGCCCGGGCCCCTGCATCCAGTGATCACAGCAGGTGCGGGCCCTGACACAAGGGGAGAAAACACTGGAAAGGGAAGGCCAAATAGTAAACGAACACCTTCCTCTCTTATTCAAAGACACAACCTTATCAACCTCTCATACGCCTGCGATTCTTCCTGTTGTTTTGTTAAGTTGCAAACCAAGACATGTTTAAACAAAAACAAAAAAAAAAAAACTGGGCTCTGGCCGTGCTTGAAACTGAGGTTTTGAGCGGGCCTAAGCCCAGCATGTCCGATGTCAGGTCTCACCAGCCTTTTCTCCAGGCAGCCCTGTCAGTCAGAGAGGAGTCTCAGATCCGCTGCTGACAACTCATTCTCCCGAGAAGCCTGCTCTGCTGCCCACAGGCCCCCAGGGCTGCAATAAAGGTCTGTGTGCATGCAAAGCGATGCCCAGGGAGTTTCTGCCTGTAACTCGGGGCACCCCTCGCCTGCAGGCCACAAGCCTGGGAAGATGGGGCGCCTGTCCACACAGGGACCATCCTACCTTCTGCCCGGGCTGGAAGGCCATCTGCTGGAGGCCTGAGGTGCCGGGAGCCTTGAGGACGTCCTTGGGCTGCTCCTGACAGGAAGTGTCCTTAGAGGTGAGGAAGGGCTGGGGAGCCGCCCCCTCCAGCAGCTCCGCCTGCGGCTCCAAAGAAGGGGGCGTGGCCTCGGGCGGCCCCAACACGCGGGCTCCCAGGAGGGACCGTTTGCCGAGGCGCCTGGACAGCACGCTGGCCATGCTGCCCTCTTCCCTGAGGAGGCAAAGGGGACACAGAGTCCGTTAGCCATGGTCCGGGGGAGTCAGGAAGCTTCCGGGCCATGCCCTCCCCGCACGCAGCCGAGGGAACATTTGATAGGAACTCTTGCGACATTTTTCTTTTTACAGAAGTAATACCCAGTTCTCGTAGGGCAGTGGTCGGCAAACTGCGGCTCGCAAGCCACCGGCGGTGTGCCGCTCTGTGGACGAATGAGTTTGCTGATTACTGTGCTAGAAGATTTAACTGCATCAGTCAATGTTATTTGATAAAAAAAAAAAAAAAAAAAAAAAAAAAACCCTTTTAGAAACCACAAAGGATCTGCCTAGGCCGATGCAGGGGTGGGGAACGTCGGGCCCTCGGGCTGTTATAAGGCCCATAGAATCATTGGCCGAGCCTTGCCAAGGCAGTAGGGGTGAGTTAATTAAATGTTTGACCAAACCCAGCAAGCTAATTTTTAAGTCGATCTTTTTTTTTTTTTTTTAATGTTTATTTTATTGATTTTTACAGAGAGGAAATGAGAGGGATAGAAAGTTAGACACATCGATGAGAGAGAATCATCGACAAGCTGCCTCCTGCACACCCCCCACCGGGGATGTGCCCACAACCAAGGCACATGCCCTTGACCGGAATCGAACCTGGGACCCTTCAGTCCGCAGACTGAGGCTCTACCCATTGAGCCAAACCGGTTTCGGCTAAGTCGATCATTTTGCTTGGCCCTGGAATGATGTTCTACATGTCCAAATGGCCCTTGGCAGGAAAGGGGTTCCCCGTCCCCTGCTGTAGAAGCTTTTCGCAACCTGCAAAGTGTGACGGAAAGGGGGTTTCCGGAGTCTTTTACTCAGAGCCTCAAGGGCTGGAAGCAGAGAGCATGGTATCTCCACCATGAATTCCCCAGAAAGCAGAGAAAAGGTAAGAACCAGGTTGGAGTCACAGCACCCATCAGGTGTCTGGTGGCTTCCATCCAGTAACAACACTACTGTGGAAAGCTTTATTATAATAAAAAGGTGACAAGTGAATTCTTGGCCAAAAAAAAAGAAGAAATATGTACATCCAATTAACTGGATTTTTACAGCCCACTCTCCTCCCTTCATCCTCGAAGCCTCAAGCCAGAAACAAGAACCTCGGACTCTCCCATTTAATTCCGTGGAGCAAGTAAGAGCTAGAGGCGAGGCCGCAGTACCATGGTGAGACACCAGAGGGCAGCATCCATCCAGAGAAAAGAAACCACCCTTTTCTAGACCAAAAAAAAACCCAGTAGCCACCCCCACTTTCCACAACAGGAAGTTTGAGGTTTCTACCTCTGGAAATGAAGAAAAGGTCCTATTTCCAAAATTCCTGGGCTTCCAGTCTCCAGATGAAGCCTGAAATATTGCGATAACAGGCCCTGACGATGTTTTTTATCAGCCTTCTTTTCTTTTTTGTTCATGTAAAAAACTACTTTTTATTTGGTTTGTGAAGGGGCACGCACCTTCCAAAGCCAGTGGGGTTTGCCGAGCTGGTGAACCAGCCCACCTTTGGTTTGCTCCCGGGTCTGTTTGCTCTCTTCTCTGGCCTTTCTCCAAATTCCACACTGAATTGTGCTCTATGTTATTCGTTTATGGTATGCCCACCTCTTCATGTTTAAAAGCAGAAGAGAAAGAAGGAAGAGAAACTGCCTTTGCCGAGTGCCTCCTCGGCACTGGCTTTCACAAACTGTATCTAATTTAATCCTAGGGGACAATCTGAGATAAACATAATGGTCTTTTACTTCTGACGGGGAGACTGAGCCATAGAGAGTGAGGGTGCTGAGGCTGCACAACCAGGAGCCCCAGCAGAAGGGGGGGCGGGGTTTGAGGGGTGCTGCCCCCATGTCTACCTGGGGTCAGAGGTCATAATCCTGCCATTATTCCCGGAGGTGTGGGATCTCTCAAAATACAACACTCCATTACGTTGCTTTTTATCTACATGGTATTCCTCCCCCCCACCCACCCCCGCTTTGTCAGTGAACCTTAATAAAAACAAATAAATAAAAATAAAAGGGGGAAACCACTCTGACCCTGCAAGTCTCTACTTCAGTTTCTTTGTACAGATTCTTTCCTTGAGAAATCTCTCCTCCAGTCTTAGCCTCTTACCTACAAAACAGAGGTCGTGGCTTCGGCCTGACCTTGTTCGGCAGCCCGGGCGCTGTTAATCATTTAGTGCTTTGGGGAGACCTTTATACACGCACTGCCCTCTAGAGGGAGCGGAGGGATTATGCAACCGGTCTCAAAAGTTAAAAGATGTCAGCCAGGTTTACACGCGTGACTGACAGCACGGAAGGGAAATAAATACGAATCTAGACTGAAGGTAGGCTGGGCAGCATCGCCCAGGGGGGGTCACTGCCCCTCCTGTATTTATCAGCACACTCACTACATGGCGGACATGGCTCTCCAGGTCACAAGAGTCCTTCGAGGGCTCCGAAGTGGACCGGAGCGCCTCCGGAGGTCAGCGGGCAGCGGGGTGGAGGAGCCAGGCTGACGCTGGACCTCCGAGGGACTCTCCAGGCTCACCTGTTCCTTTCCCCCTGGGCCTGAGGGTCCCACCTTCCCTCCTAGGACACATCGATCGATCTACCTGGAGACTTCTTCAAACCTCTCTTCCCTGGTCTCTGCTTCTATTCACTCCCCTGTGGGTTTCTTGCTCGGGAGCAATCCAAGGCCCGTATAAACCAGCCATTTCCCTAATTTGCCATAGGATCTGGTACAGCCAAGAGAAATCAAGAAACAGCCTTCAAAGGATAACAACAACAACAACGTCTCGACATGTAGCCAAATCTCACTTTATGACGTTACATTCTTTTTATATATATATATATATATATATTTTTTTTTTTTTTTATTGATTTTTTACAGAGAGGAAGAAAGAGGGATAGAGACTTAGAAACATCGATGAGAGAAAATCATCGATCAGCTGCCTCTTGCACACCCCCTACTGGAGATGTGCCCGCAACCAAAGCACATGCCCTCAACCGGAATCGAACCCGGGGCCTCCCAGTCCGCAGGCCGACGCTCAATCCACTGAGCCAAACCGGCTTTGGCTGATGTTACGTTCTTGACTCACGGAAATCGCGGATTGAAACAAACCGGTTGCTACAAAGGACTTCCTGCTGATGCACAGTCTGAAGGGGGTCCCCTCCCGTGCCTCTCACCCCTTCCGCTGTCACACACGGGGAAGGGGCTAGCGAACTAGAATATGTATTCTGGTCCGTGTCCAAAGCGGGGGAGCCCCTTCTCGGGCTCAGAAAACATGCTCCGATGTGCTGGTAGCCCTTCAGGGAGGACATCCGCCCTCCGTTAAATAACTGGAACAGGCAGGAGAGGAAAACAAACCCTCTCTGTGGTTCTGAGTTGCAAATTGCTATTTGACATGTAACCGTTGCCGGACAACCACATGTCCCGGGCCTCTCACGCACCATGGCTGTTCTCTCCGGCCCAGGGACCCTGCAGCAGGCCATGGCGTCACCGAGAGACACTTCTAGGGCACAGGTCATAGGTCCAAATGATTCCGTAAATCACTAATAACTTGGGTTGGTTGGTTGGTTTGTTTGTTTGCTTGTTTAGTTAAGGAGAGTTAAGCTTGGAGTGAGACTCTCGTTTGCTAAACCTTGGGTGCCTGCCACAAGCTCTCCAATGAACAAGTAATTTACGGATCCAGGTGAGGGACAGCCACCCGCTGCCCGGTCTCAGGTTCTCTACTAACCTCAGCTTTCTAACTCACGATCTCCGCTGGTGACCACTGCACAGCACGCCGGTGTGAGTGGTCAGTTCTCTGGCTGATATTTGCATACCATCCTTAAACGTTTATCAGAGAGGTGCTCGTGTTTCCCCTTAAAAGTCTGCCAAGTTTTGCCCAGCTGGTGGGGCTCAGGGGCTGAGCTTCAACCTATGAACTAGCTGGTCCCGATTCAACTCCCAGTCAGGGCGCATGCCCGGGGTGGTGGGCTCGATCCTCAGTAGGCGGCATGCAGTAGGCAGTCCATTGCTGATTCTCTCTCTCGTCACTGATGTTTCTATCTCCCTCTCCCTGATTCCATTTCTGAAACCAATCAAAATATATTTTTAAAGAAAATCTGTAAAGTTTTAACCTAAAAATTTTCCCACGGTGGTGTCCTAAGCTCACTCAAAGGTTAAAATGTAGCGATAAACGTCTCTTGCTTTTACAACACAACTCAGTGGAGAGCAGGATTCCCACACCTCTTAGCCAGGGCGGTCTCTGAGAGTGCATGTGCAGGTATTTACAATGTATGTGGCCTCTCAGAGTGAAGGTCACCGTCTGAACTTGGCAGAAGCAAGGTGTCATACCCCGGCACCACCACCCAAATGCCGCCGGTGGTTCTCAAGTCTTTTTTCTCTTTTTTCTTTTTTTCTGGACTGCCTTCTCCAGAGAAAGTTAAAAAAAAAAAAAAAAAAATTCACTTCACTGAGCATATACTGACCTTTTCTTCCCAGAGGACTCTCTGCCCAGCCTGGCTTTGGACAGAAAACCCTCCAAGAGCAGCCAAGGCTATGAGCCAAGACTTTTACATCTCCCAACTTATGTAACAGTCCCTGTTATACCATTCTTTTTTTTTTTTTTTTAATACATTTTTATTAGTTTCGGAGAGAAAGGAGCAGCAGAGAAAGATAGAAACATCAAAGAAAGACGGGAACTGTAAACTCCTGGTTCATAGGTTGATGCTCAACCACTGAGCCGCACCATTTTTAAAACGTGTGGTGTACGTTTTAGGTTTTCACAATGCAAGCTTAAGGTACACAGCACTGAGCGAGTTAGTGATTGATTCAATACCAACATTTCTAAATCAGCTATTCAAAGAATGACCATTTGGATTTTCAGAGCATTTAAATTCTTTTTCTTCTCCTGAAGGCTTTTAAAAACTAGATGACACGCCATGTGTACGTGTGGGCCGGTGTGGCTCAGCGGTTGAGCATCGACCTATGAACCAGGAGGCCAGGGTCCAAATTCAGTCAGGGCACAGGCCTG